TGGAGCCGGGGCCGGCGGGGAGCGCTGAACAGGGCGTGGGGAAGGAGGGGAGCGGCGGAGGTGGCAGCGCGGGGGAGAGGCGGTTCTGTAAAACACTTTCCCCTTCTCTCTGCCAGCCTTTGGGAGGACTCTCGTCCTGACTCGGTGAAGGTTCCGCTCCCTCTTCCCCCAGCCCCTGATCCCTCCTCGGCGCGGCAGCCCACCCAGGAGGGCATCAGTATCAGCCCTCTCCGGTGCGCCGGGGAAGTTGCTGACATGCCTGCCGCTGGGTCCCGGTGCACCGGCAGCGGCGGGGAGCCGGATTTAAAGGGGAATTGTGCTGCAGACAATGCACAGCAGCAGCATCTGGAGCAGCCCTGGGGACCGGAGCTCCGGTTTTGACATTGCTGCACACACAGCACCAGCCGCAATGACAGCAGCTGCCTGGAGTGGCTGCAGGCAGCAGGCAGGAGCATGAAGTAGAGAGATCACTGCAGTGCTCAAGATGAACTCCTCTTTGGTTGGCAACCAGAGTGGCCGGCCCTTCTGTCTCCTGGCCATTAGCTATTTGGAGACCATCAATTTTTGCCTCCTGGAAGTGGTTATTATTGTGTTCCTCATGGTGCTGATTATTTCGGGCAACATTATTGTGATATTTGTCTTTCACTGTGCACCTCTGCTGAACCACCACACCACCAGCTACTTCATCCAGACTATGGCGTATGCTGACCTCCTGGTGGGCGTGAGCTGTCTGGTGCCTTCTTTGTCTCTGCTGCACTATCCTATTGTTTTAAGTGAGTCTTTGGTTTGCCAAATCTTTGGTTATGTGGTATCAGTGCTGAAGAGTGTCTCCATGGCCTCCTTGGCCTGCATCAGCATTGACAGATACATTGCCATCACGAAGCCCCTGACCTACAACACGCTGGTTACCCCGTGGAGGCTGCGAATCTGCATATTGACCATTTGGCTCTACTCCTGCCTGGTCTTCTTACCCTCCTTTCACTGGGGAAAGCCTGGATATCATGGGGACGTGTTCCAGTGGTGCGCCAGTTCCTGGAACACCGATCCCTATTTCACCCTCTTCATTGTGGTGATGCTCTACGCCCCGGCCGCTTTCATCGTCTGCTTCACCTACTTCAACATCTTCCGCATCTGCCAGCAGCACACCAAGGAGATCAACGAGCGGCGGGTGCGCTTCAGCTCGCAGGATGGGGAGGCTGGGGAGGCCCAGCCCTGCCCGGACAAGCGCTACGCCATGGTCCTCTTCCGCATCACCAGTGTCTTCTACATCCTGTGGTTGCCCTACATCATCTATTTCCTGCTGGAGAGCTCCAATGTCTATAGTAACCGCGTCGCGTCCTTCTTGACCACTTGGCTTGCCATTAGCAACAGTTTCTGCAACTGTGTCATTTACAGTCTCTCCAACAGTGTCTTTCAGAAGGGGCTGAAGCGTCTCTCGGGGGCCATCTGTGCCTCGTGTGCTAGACAGAGGGTAGCTAAGGACTCCTCTACCTCTAGGAGCAAAAGATCTTCCAATGGATGTCATGTCTAGGACGCCTGTCAGCTGGACTGGGAAGTGCAGGGACAATTGCGTAGATTGCAAAATAAGTTAGATACGATTCTAAGATATCCAGATTTGCAAAAAGGTTTCTGAGAAATGCTGCTGACATAGGAGGATCAGGAGCACATAGCGTTGTGGTTTCACTTTAAAAAATGATTGCTGTGGAGGAGGCTGTGGAGTTTCACCTCCACATTCATTTTAAAGAATAAAGCTGTATCTTGACACTTACCTCTCCAGCTGGTGTGACTGAATGGAGTGGGTGTCTGAGAGCTTCGGCAAAATGTAGTCTTTCTTACAGCTTTACTGGGTTCTTTGGAGATTCGTGCTTCACATGTAAATGATAGATCTGAAGTGGAAATGTCACAGTCTATGGTATATTACAGGGATTTTTTTAATATATGCCAAAGTATATTGACACAACGTTCCAGCGTCAGAACAGAAGGGGCCAAACAATTTGTTTTTCAGTGCTACCTAGACAGGACTTGTAGAACAGGAGTTGAACAATGTGAACATTTCAGTGTGAACTCTGTTAATGAGCCGTGAGTGCAGCAATGTGGTCTGAGCAGTCATACTCTTAGGGCTGAGGTGGCTTCCGTGCCCTGTTTCCCTGGTAGGATGCATGTTTGGATCAGAGTGCGGATCTGTGTTTTCCTGTTTGTTGTGAAGTAAGAAGAAAAACTTGGATCAGACCAAATTTAGCAGTTAAATAAAATGTATTTTGATAAGCTAAGAGAAAATATGTGTTGCTTTATGATACCAGAGTTGTGGCAGCCACTCAAAGATGATGCCAACATGTGAAAATTGTTCTCAAACCAGTGGAGAAATGCCGCGGGTTTGTATGTGGAAATTTTCTCAAGAACAACTTTAAAAATAACATGTCCCCTTTTTTTTTTTTTTTTTTTTTTAATCTAAATTCTTCTGATATTTTACATACTGGAACTTAAGGGGAAAGGAAAGAAAACAATTGTCTTCTAAACAGCTAAGGGAACTATGTTGTAAATTTAACTGTAGTATTTGAGTTATTCATAAGTGCACAGAGCTAAATCAGAGACATTTTTCTTTAGCCTTCATGGGATTAAAGATGGTTCAAATATAGCAGGAGCTAAATCCTGTTGGCAAAAGCATATCTAACTGGTCAGACAAAGGCAATATCTGAGGAACCAGATCTCATTGAACACAGCTTGTTCAAGCTAGCCTACATTAAATCTTTAGAGTACTGTCATGCTGTTAAGAAGGCAGAATGGCCCTCAAATTGTTGAGTTTTTTGTAGAGAATATCCTTGTCTTTTTACTGATGCCATTTTGGAAATGAAGGTGAAGCAAGTATTCCTGTAGTGGTGGATTGCAGTGTCCCCCTGTCCTGGAGCAGGGCTGTCCCTCTGTCTCTCCTGCTCTCAGAGCAGCTTGTGCTGTGCCCCTGACCATCCACCCTCTGTGCCCCTCCTTGTGCTTCCAGTCACTGCCTTGGGCTGCTGAGTGGGGAGTTCCCTGAGCTCCTCTGGTACAGCTGGTGTGCTCTTAGTCACAGTGGGAATGCAAAGAAGGATAGGGAAAAATAATGTGATATTTTTAGAATTGGGGTAATTCTGTTGGCGAAAGGGAATGCTCTGTTTATGTTAAATGATTTCAAGTCTGTGTTGTTCCATATCAAGATCATATTTTTAATACTCTGCCCTGTCCCTCCTGGAAATTCCCCCCTCCTCTGTGCAGTGCTGTGAGCCCTGGCCTCTCCTCTCTCTGCCTTGCCCTGGAGGATACCAGCTTGTCTCTGCCCCATCACATGCCACGATTGCTACAGCCCAGCCCTGCTGCCCATCCACATTTGCTCTAGTGCAGTCTCGTGGGGCTGCCAGTGAGGAAATGGGGAAGGAGAGAGAGAGAGCAGCAGGATGAAGCATTCCTGGCATGGCATGTAATTGTCAGCACTCAGTGCTGGTGCACTTGAGTGCCTCTCCTGGATGTGTGTGTACCTGTTCAGGGGAGGATGGGGCAGAACCCCCTGCTACTGCTGCCTCCTTCTGTTGGAGGGCCCTGGGGCAAAGCATTTAAGTGGCATCTTGATCAGCTTCCAGCGTATTTCATCTCAAGATAAACATCCTCTTTAGTTCATCTGAAATTTTAAGAGCACAGGTGGTCTAAACCCTGCTGCCTTCACACCACCATTTCTTGCTCTCCTTGTAGTAAAGAGCAGAGAGGGGCTTGTGCTGGGTCCTCGCAGACACGCCCGGGGTGCTTTGCTCGGCAGAGCCCTCTCAGTCGGAATTTTGGTTAGACACAGCCAGCCGTGGGGGTAGCACAGGGGTGGAGTGACTCACTTGGAAAAGAAGTGGGATAATAAGCTTGCAGCACATCGTGGCTGATTGTCTCAGGCGCTCTGTGGGTATGATGGCAAAGGTGGGCTTCGGGGAACAATTCAAGGGCTTTTGTCACTCATATCAAAGTGTGTGTGTGTGTGGTGTTCTTGGAACAGCCTCTCAGGTAAACTCCCTGTAGCCTTTCTCTGACTCTTCACCTTATCTAACATTTCCAAGTCTTTGAAATGATGCAGTGTGTCATTGAAATAGCATTTGATTAGACTTAATAGAAGAGAAGAATCTGCTGCGGCCTAAAACCCTAGAAACGGCAGTTTCAGGTGTAAGTGGAAGCTGGAAAGAGTGTTGCTTTTGGGGTTTTTTATAGCTAAATAGAGGGTTTAAACAGGAGCATTGCATGCTAGTTTTTGAGAATTTTGAAAGTTTTTGGAACTGGTAAGGGGTCTAAATCATGGCCTAGAGATTTAACTGGAGCTGAAGCAGTCGTTCTTTCAGCCCTGAGCCAGGAATTGCACTTGGAGCATGGTGGCTGATCCAGATGCAGATGCATTCTTGCAGCTGTTGCTGCTTTGCAGCAAAGGTTCACTTCTAACATTCCTGACAGCCAGGCTGTTTTCAGTTGCCTTACTCATCTCCAAGTCTTCCTCAGCTCGGACGTTTTCTGTAAGAGGTGAAAATCAGAATCTGGAAGACTCCAAGAGATAAGGATGAAGAGGAGTTGCATCCAATTGATGCATTCAGGTTTCATCCACTATACAGACACTTCTAGTGTTGCCTCAGTAGCTTAGTTTTAGTGTCAAATATTTATCTTTTTGTCTGTGTTAATTTATTGATATTTTAAACATTTAAATTATGGTTTTTCCCTCTTAAGTTAATGTCGATGTAGCACATGTTTTGATGTTTTAAATATTTGTAACCTTTGAGTCTGTTGTCTTCAGTGAAATTGCAGGGGGTGAATTCTGTTCACTGTGCCAACGGTGGGAAAAATAATTTTGACAAGCAGGACTTTGTTTCTCAGCAGTGCATTGAACACCTTTGGTCGTGCACCCAACACAGGCACAGGGATCCTTCCCATCACAATCCATGCTAGGAGTGGTCAGGCAGCAAACTTCCCAGCTGGATCATTTTCATCCTCCACACATGAAATGAATCCACTTCTGGCTCTTTTTGTGTCTGGGTGCTTTGGAAATCGGTGCTGAGAGCATTGCACAGATAAATGCCACGCTGAGGGGAGGACAGAAATCAGATTGCATCTTCATAAAAATGGGGCTGTGATATGATTAAATGAACTAATTTTGAAGTTCCATCTCAGACTATAAATTTATTTTTTATTAGAGTTTATCTGCCTCACTTTAAAATTAAGCTGCTGGAAGGTTCAATTAGCAAGATGCAATTCAGTGGCTTTTTTTAGTGCCATGGGAAGGATTTCTATACTCACAGCTTCTCAGAAAATGGTAATTTGCTTCATGTAGAAGTCCCTTTTTTTTAAAAAAAAAAAAATTACTGGAAGTTTAGGTTGTGATTATTTTGTCATTTTCCAAATATACTGGGAAAATAGCTGTGAAATACATTTTTTTTTATGATCTCAATCAAGGGACAGTATTTTTAAACTCAACAGAAATCTTTTGTGTCAAACAAAAGTTTTGCTTTTATCTACTGTTAATTTTTTTTTGTTAGATGTTACCAGTTTCTACAGTCTTCATTTGTTGGTGGGGAGTTTGTACTTGTTTTTAAGCTTCTTATCACTCAGAAATATGTTTCTACTACTTGGAATTCTGACATGGCTCAGTGTCAGAGTGCCAAGGGGCAGTTTTGGATATTTGTCACAAGTCTTTGACAGGAGGAAAAGGGTACAAAGTACCGAGGCACAGAGAATTGCAAGAGACAGAGAATTCCCAATGGCATTGTTCCCTCCTGCTCATATAAAGGCTTTATGTGTGAGAACCCTACATTTCAGTTTGTCTGTTCTGAAAAAAGACATTTCCAAGGCCTGGATGTGATACGAGATGGAAACATTCAGTGTGCAAATTCAATATGCAGACTTTTTGCTTTTTATTGTGGTGTTCCCAAGTGCTGTCATCAAGGCAGTAATTCTATGAGTCAGGAAGTCTGAAATATTTCACATATTATACATGAAATATTTATACAAGTCTGATCTATCTTCACATCAGGTTTTGAAGTTAACAGAACTTCTAAGTCAGGTTGGTGCTTTAAAAAATATTTCTTAGGAACCAGTATGTGAGCACAGGAATCTGCCTTCAGACTTTACAAACAAAAGACCCTTTTAAAATTTTTCTGATTCATCTGTTTTAGATAATTTAATAAGAGGAGGTGGAGGTTTTGGAAGGCTTTTTTTTCATTGTTTTAGCACATGTTCAGTTCTGAATTTTTGAAGCACCTGCTGAAGCTTTTGCCTGACTTGACCCTTATTTTATTGTTTGGTTTAGAAATGTTTCTTCTTCCCTTCTATGATTTTGCAGAATACAACACATCCTTTCCATGCTGTCATTCAAGATAAACTCAGATTTTAATCCAAGTTTATCCAAATGTTACCTTTAATGTTCCCTGTATGGTGAATGCTGTTGTGTGTGTGGGGCTGTGAGGAGCTTGCAGCTGGTCAGGTTTTACAGACTGTCTCCAAAGCAAACAGCCCCTCTTTGGGATGGTGGGAGAATGTTCCATTTTCACTAGTGAAGTGTATTCTTCTGGGCCAATGTCTGACTTCCAGTTGGTATTTCCATTATTGCCCGGGCTCTGCAGAGGTACTGCTTTGAAAGATGTTTCTGCACATAAACAAAGGCATTTAATACTAAAGTTATGCTTCTGGAAGGGGATATTTAAATTAAAATTTAATAAGTGTAGGACCAGGTGCAGTTGTGTTCAGAGAAAGAAACTGAAAGTTGTGGTGATGGAAACAAAGAGAGGAAACCTGCTGGAGGTCAGTCAAAACAATGGAGTATTTAATGTGGGTCATTTTCTTTACAATACACAGTATTTCTTTTAAATATGGAGTTTAACCTTCTTGCTTTTGCTTTGCTGCTCCCTGGAGGCAGCTCCTCTGAGCCTGGGGGTCTCCCACACCCACCCCAAAGGGATTCCCTGCAGACCTGGGGTGACGATCAGCCTCTGATTTGAGTTCAGGTAATGTCAGTCCATGTCACTGTCTGAGGTGTTCAGCCACAGGGAGTTAATCTGATGGGATATACTTACTTTGGTCAGCTTTTCAGGTTTTTTTCTTGTGATGTTGTTTTCTAGACAGGTGAAATGTTTGTTTTTAGAGGCAGCTTTGCTGATGGTTCTGCACACAATGTTGATTTCTGTCATCTGTCAGTTCTTATCCCATTGCAGAGTGGAAAACAAGCCCCAGTCTGTCAGCTCTGCAGGCATTCAGTGTGGCTGCAGATGGAGGTGTTTGTGGGTCTCACCCATATCCCATTTGCATCTCCTGAGCTTTAGCAGTTAATGAAGACATTAGCAGAAGTGATGCCTGTGTCCTGGTCCAGGTTGTTTCTTTACATCTCAGATGTCCTTCAGCAATCTGTGAATCAGAACTGATCCTCGTGCTGGTGATTTGGTGATTGTTTCAGCTGAGAAACAGAAGTTGTTAAAGTCATCTTTGTTTTGTCCTGAAGCTGTTTTGGGGTTGTGTTGCAATCCCTGAGCTGATCATAGGATGATCTCCAGGGGAGCTCAGGAGGCCCCAGGTCCCTGTGGAACAGACCTGTTGGTGGGTTGGTAACCAGTAGCTTTATTGGCTGAGAAGTTTAAACAAGTGATAATGTTTAGATGGGGGTTGACAGAGACACCTGTGTTTGGAAGGGGGCGATCAGGGAAGGCTCCACCTGCCTGCGCGTGAGGCCTGAGGTGCAGCACAGGGGGATGGAACAGAGCAGGCAGTCCAGACTTTCTGTTCTGACTTCTTTAGAAATTTGTAAGATGAGGATAGCAAGTTTGTAATTCAAAGCTTTGGCTTATTTCTGATGGTCTTTACTGGAGATCCTTCCATTAAAAGGTGAAATAAATTCGAGTGTCTCCTCATAAAGATGAACTCAAATCTTGCTGTGCATATGCGAGTCATTCTCAGTGTTACACAGACCACGTGAACCAAGCAATCAAATGCTTAATAAACCAAGTCATTACTTTTATGGTAAATTGAAAAAAGTTCTTCTGGGATTTCAACTGTAAATGAATCCTTGAAAATCAATAATTAGATTAGTAAAGGATGACGTTTTAATATGCTGGCAGGAATATAGAGGGATTTGTCAGGGGAAGCAAAATCAGACTTTGCACTAAAGTGGCTTAGGTATATTTATAGTTCTAGTGATTCTGTGTGTGTGTGGGATCTTTGGACTGTTTTAATATAATGTAAGGCTTTGAGCTTTAGCAAACTCAAGTTGCTCGTTTTATGAAGTTACATTAGTACCACACTGTGAAGTATTTTTAAATATTAGCATTACTAAGTATTAAAAGTATTTAATAAAAACATTTTTTAAAACGTTTTCTGTAGAAGCTGTCAAATGAATTGTTGTTTAATGTACAAAGAAATAAAACCTGAGGGCTGTAAGGTACCTGTATGTTTCTGATCACCTCGGTTTTTGAGGGGTTAGGTATTTCTTGAGGTTAAATTGTCATTAAAACCTACAAAAAATACTGGTGCAGTTAATCCTTTCAGAGAACAGAAAGCAGCATTACCTCCAGCCATGCTTTTGAACTGTCTGAAAGGATTTGCAATCATTGTATTGTCTTGACAGACTCATGTCTTTAGAAATGCTGTACAGCACAGTCTTTTGCAAGTTCCTATGCTGATACATTTCTCTCCATATGTAACCTTTGAAATCTAGTTTCTATTGTAATTCTAGCATGTAAACACTAGATTCAATTTTGTATTCCTCTAATGAATGCAACAGGATGGAAACACGTTTGCAATTGCTAATGATGAGCTTTTTTACTGTTCTTAATACTCATGGGTATGTCTTTTCTTCAGGGATTTCAGAATTGTATTCGTACCTTTTTAAATTGTTTTTTCACATGCTGTTTACAATTAAACCACGAGCATGGGAGGCTGTGCGTGCATGTGCTTTTAGGTTGCTTTGCTGAATGAAATACAGTGGAGTGATCTTACTCTAAAACCTCTCTCTTGCCCAGAGAGGTTTTGGCTGCCCCTGGATCTCTGGAAGTGTCCAGGGCCAGGCTGGACAGGGCTTGGAGCAACCTGGGAGGGTGGAAGGTGTCCCTGCCCATGGCAGGGGTGGAACTGGATGATCCATTCCAACCCAAACCGCTCCATGGCTCTGTGATGCTCGTTTTTCCTTGTGTCCCACCTGTCTCCTTGTACCCTTCACAGTATCTGGTACAGCAGAAGCCACCAGTGGGGTTATTCTGGTGTGTTCTGTGGAGACCTGACATTGTCAGAGGTTGTTATGAGGAGTTTTTTTTGGGAGGCAATCCAGCTCCTTACACAAGTAGTGTTCCAACCGATATATTTTTCCTGAATGTCAGTTAAAAGGCCAAGAGTAGATGAAATCACAGGTGCGAATGTGTATGTGTGTGTTTGTAAGAACTTCGTGCACCTTTTAATGCTGGAAGTTGTTTTGTATTAAAAGATGAGAAAGAGCTGTGAGTGTAGAACCCCTGCTAGGAAGAACTGTGGAGAAATCTCCACCAAAGCAGATTAGAAAAATCAGCAAGTGAATTAGAGGCAGTCTGACTCTGGAGACTCGAATTCTGGTTTAGTTCTGACACAGTGGGGTCTGTCTGGGTGGGCTCCTCGATGGTCCTTGGCACTGTTGGGTCTGCTGTGGCTCAGACGAGGGAAGGGTGTTCTCCTGCACAAGGCAGCTGAGGAAGAGTTTATGCTGAGGCTCCAGAATTACCTGTTTTGTGCCAACTCAGAACTGTTGTTAAAATACAGGGGAGAGGGGTTCTTCCACCCCATGGTTTTAATAGACATTTCTGTAGCTGACTTTTCAACTAAGACTAATAATAAGAAAAACTACAGTTGAGCCAAAAATGACAAATGTTACTGAGTTAAAATAATACTTGCATATTTTTAATTATTAAATGGAACTAGATAAATTGGAAGCATGTAAATAACTGATTCTAAATCTTTGCGTAATTATTTCCAAGAGGTAATTTTGCTATGAGCTATTAAAACTCCAAGAAGTGTATTATTCCCTTTTGAGATGGTGTGTACCCCAGCTGTGTCATACATCTCTTGGCTTGTTTCCTTTTTGCTGTAGATGTACATACATATATATATTTGTGTGCTGTGCAGTTGTACAGTCACTGCCACGTTAAATTGATTGCTTTCAAATGACTATATCTGTGTATTTTACATATGTGTGTATATGTATAAGCAGTTTAACAGGGCAGTGGTTGTACAGCCACAGAGTTTAGGGCTTTGTACAATATGTAATTTTAAGAATGTCAATGTGGTTCTTTAGCAGATTTTATAAAACACTTCTCCGAATCTGTTATCAGCACTTCCCATCCTACAAGAAACTGCACATTTTTCAGTGATTGTTCCACTGGTTACATTTTTGTCTGCCATTTGTTCTGGATTGATGTAATCTTGATACTACTAAAATTTCAAGGGCTGTTGACGCATTTCACATAGCCTGGGATTGCCTGTTCTCCAAATATATGGATCATGCATCAACAGTACTAAGTAGCCTTACTGTTTTGCCTAAAAGCCTAGCTAATTTATTTAATATTCTCTCTTTAAAGAGAGGTCTTTGGAAGGGGTGGCATATTTTAGGATGCTCCTTCTCTTTAAAGGGAAACTCGGAATTGACTAGCAGTACTTGTTGATCAGTGATATTATTGTAGCCAAAGGATGCATGGGTGGTTTAATAGGAAGTTTTTGCTTCAAGTTTCTTGATGAAATGTAGTGTTCTACAGAGCTGTGTGAAGAGTGTAGTTTTTTATTCTGAAATGCACTTGTACACTTTATTTGAAAGGTCTGAATGGATCATAAATACATTTAAGAAATAAATGATACATCACATGTTTTCATGGCTTGTCTGGAATGACTTTTCTGTTTCTGTGCTGCTAAAGGTGCGTTCCTTGGCACTGGGTGGGGCTTTTTCCCTTATCTTGATTCTCCAAATAATCTTGTGAGTGCAGGGGCAGGAGAACCTTCCAGCCTGGTTGGTGTTTATGCTTTATCCATACATGCTGCAGAGCACTGTAGGCAAACTCCTCACTTTAATTTTCCTGTGGGAAACTTGAGCCCTAAAAGGAAACGAACAGAGCGAAAGGGCTGGATATCACAAGGGATTCACTTTTATTTTTAGAATTGCACTATATTGCCATATTTGGCCTGAAACTATGCTGTATCAATGCACTATTGTATCCAATTGCAGTGTCTAACCAGTCCAAATTTGTCTAAATTATTCAGGTTTTTTTCCACAAATACTCTTTATCTGTGAATGTTCTTGGCAAGTGCTGACTCCAGGTAACACATCCTGCAGGAAGCATTCCTTGTGGGAAGTTAACAAGTACATTACTCTGAAAGTGTGGTTTGTGTCACTTCCTTGAGGTCTCAGTAACAGGTGTAATTCCTCCTACCAAAACCTTCTCCAGTAGTTTGGGCTAAGACAAATGCAGGAAGTGCTCTCTGTGTAAAAATGAACATAAATACTGCTTAATAAAAGTAATTATGGGAATGCCATCAGCCTGCAAAATAGACCTGGTGGCACAGGATCCTGCTAACACTGAAAATAGCTGTCAAAAAAACATTTAATGTATTTGAATGTACTTAAAACGTACAGATCTGCTTAAAATAACTTATATCCCCATCGTGTAATATTACCCCTGCTGCTGCCCACGAAAGCTGCACAGAATTTTGGCTCTCTCTGCCTGTTGGATCAGCTGGAATCTGTCCCTGGCTTAGTGCACTCTAGGGTGGCTTGTCCATGCCTTGCAGCAACACACCACGTGCTGGTCCCACCCTGGCAAAGCAAGGAGAATTCCAGTGGTGGACTGAGACTCCAGACCCTTCCCACAGTAATCTCTGACCGTGTGGCAGAATTCTTGCAGCCACTGAGACCTTCCTAAGGAGTAACTGGAATGTGGAAATGGATCCATTGTGGCAAGAGTGAGAGTCAGGCACAGCTTGGGTTGGGTGTGTCAGGTAACTCACCAGTGAGCAAAATTCCACAGCTGGAATCATTCTGGGGGTTGGGGCAGGGGGAACCTAAAGTTTGGTCCCCTTGCATTTCTCCATTTTTGTGGTGGTTCTGAAGTCAGCCTGTGTCCAGGTCATGGGTTTGTTTTATACCCCCAGGGGATTTTCTCCAGGAGCCTGGCAGGACAGGAGCTGATTTTTGGGTGATGAGCCCTTTCCAGCAGACAGCTTTCTCTGTTCTCTGGAGGTTTCTCATTTCATTCTTTTCATCACAAATCCTGTCCTTTAGCAATTCTTTGCTGCAGTTTCTTCATCCTCTTGGGGTTATGTAGGGGCTTAGGAAGAATAAACCTGAGCTGCTGAAAATTTCAAGTAGATCAGTCCCAGGAAGAGGGAACTCCAGCTCTTCCATGTCTTTGATTGTGCCTTAAGCTACAGAAAAAGCTTCTGAAGTAACACAGTCTTAGCCTGAATATGCTGATCAAGGCTGTAACTGCATGACATGGTTTTCAGATCCTAGGATGCTCAGGATGCTCCCTGCAAGATCATGAAAATACATGGAAAATACCTTTTAATTGTGTCAGGTTTAGGAGGTGGGAACCAATATGCTTTTATATGCAGCCTGACAGAATAAATGGGCTTTTCCCAGCTGGAGTGCATCCTGGTTTCCATAATTATTCACGTAGTTTCTGTTTAAATCAACTGGAGAGGAAGGTTTCAGTATAACTCCCCTAATATTTTAAAGTGCATAAAAGAGGGGGAGGAAGGGCATACTTTGAGTCTGAGCATCTACATTTTCCTGCTTTCCTTCAGAGCAGCAAACTGTTATGAGAATTTTAATCTTCACTACACTTGCCTCAGTTCTCATGGCTGGTTTCCACTCTGTTTTCTTTATTACTTTCTTTTTCTTCCTGTCATTCTTAGCTTTCTATTTTTCAATCCCAGTTTGTGAAGGGTGTGGGTTCAGAAGGGTTTCCTTCAGTTCCCAGTCCCCTGAAAGCATGAGAAATTGCCCATTGAGCCAATTCTCACAGCAAGGTATAAAAATAGGAGTAAAGAAAAGGTTACACAATGCTTGGATTGCAGCAGTTTGTACTAATGGGGAGATTTCAAAGCCATGGTTTGAAAAACATTTTTTAAACCTTATCATTTCCGTTGATTTTTCTCTCCCCAAGCTGTGTTTCAGCTGCAGGAACTCACGTTGGATTGCTTGAGGAATTGTACTGAGACACAGGAGTCAAAAGCTGAGCAAGTCACGCAAAGCCAGAGAGGCCACTAATTAGTTCTCTTTAGCCATAATGAATGATTTGTTTGAGAATCCTCTCTTAAATGTTTCCAACCAGATGCTTTGGTCTCTGCTGTTAAATAAGTGGATTAAAAGGCAAGTGGATCTGAGATTATTTTGCCATTGCAGCAGAACACAGGTGATTGTCAGGAAAGGCACTTGTGTGGTACCACAGATGCTGCTGGCAGTGGCCAGAACCTGTGCTCCTGGGAATACTTCACCAGAAATCAGTCTTGCAAACTTGTAAGAAACTAAAAGTTATCACTTAGTCTGCATTCACATGTTTAAAGTTTGTGGAATTGTTTCTGAGCTTTGTCTTAACCCTGCTTGCGAAGCCAGCTGAAGTTGACAGCCAGCCATTAGCATAATTGTCTTTGATTTAAAAGGTATTTATTTATATGAAATTCATTGAGCATTGGATTTTGTTTGTTTCTGATTCCCTTATAATGAGCAAGACCTCTTTACCATGTTAATTATTATGGAATTGGAATGCTGAACAGTACTTTTGGTATAATTTCCAAAACAATCTGGTCTTGATTCTAATAGCAGTATAATGCTTTCCTAATCAAATGTCTGTGTTAAGCCCCAGAGAGAAGCATTAACCTTGGATTAAAATCAGAAGAGAAAATGAATCACACTGTGGTAATTTTGTTATTGTTGTTGTTTGAAAAATTATTTTGTGAGGAACTACAAGCTGTATTGAATGTTCCTTACATGGATTACATTGTGTACTTTTTTTACTATCTTTTACTTCTAACCTTTTTCCATTTGCCTACCAGAAATCCAGAAATCTGGGTTATTTGGATAGATTAAACCCTATTTTTTAATTTTTTATTTTTTTTTTTACTGTTCAGCTTTCCAAATGTCCAAGGCATCTGAAACTGATGGTGTCAGAGTGATGTAGAAAACAAAGTTTTGTCTTCCTTATGCTGAAATCCCAGCTCATACAGGACCTGTCCCTGCATTCCCTCATGTTGTCCTGTATGACACTCCCTAGGGCTCATACTCATCTATTTTCTCTAGTTTAGAGTTCTGAGGAGGGCATGAGGAGTGGTTCCTCAAGAAGAACCTCAGGGACAGCATTTTGGACAGCTGCTGCTTACAGCTGACTCCTGCAGTTGTGAGATACCAAGAGTGTGCCTGGGCAGTGCTGGCATCCAGGAATCTCTGGGGGATGGCTGCATCTGCACTGTCCTGGCCTGGAACACAAGTAGGGTGTGTGTGTGTCTGTGTATGAACTCCTGCCACTCTCTGACCTCCCCAGATGTGCTGAGGTACCCAAATCTATCCCAGCTGTAATCTGCAGCTGCCAGCTCTGCTGGGGTACACTGGGATTTGTTAAATTTAGAACAGTGCACAGAACCAAGTGCTAATCTCCCAAGTCTCAATCCTAGCATATTGTAATTCATATTCTTTTGATGTGTTTTCATTTGCATGTTATTTTCTTTTTCTGATAGGAGTCTCCACAAGACAGTGCCATCACCCGAGACATCAATCGGACGTTCCCTGCTCATGATTATTTTAAAGATACTGGGGGAGATGGCCAGGACTCCCTGTACAAAATATGCAAGGTATTCTTTAAATTCTTCTGGGCTGGTTTTGGTAACTTGTATTAGACATCAGCAGCAGTGTGGCTGTTGGCTGAGAAGAAGGGGGATGTGTTACCATTGTGTGTCATGGGGACAGCCTCTGGCACCAGGCTCAGGCTGTTCTCTGTTGTAGCTGTTAGGCTCCTTCTGGGTACTGACACAGGAGACCTAAAGCCCTTCTGGATTCCTCTGCACTGATGTGTTTGGTGCAAAGACTTCACATCATTCCTGACCTGTCAGCCTGGATCAAGCTGGACAAATTATGTAACTGGAGATGTTATGTACCTCCGTAAAGGTTGTAAAGCCATAAGCATGCACTGAAGCTGATTATTAAAAGGAAGAAATGAGCAAAAATGTATTTTTGTGTATAAGCTCAGTGTATTCAGGTATCTCAGCTGGAATGGTTAAAGCTTCCAGCACTTTCTTTTGAATTCCTAGTGTTCTTCCTCTTCCTAACATCTCTGTGGGACCTGTTTAGAGATAAAAGCATTCAGATAAGTGGTTTAATAAGCTGCAGCAACGTTAATGCAGCACTGGGACCAGCCCCTGCCTCTGTGTATCCCAGTTTGGTTGTCATACAGATTTTCCCTTTGTTAGAATGACAGTGTCTGCACTCTATGCATGGGAATTTTATGGAGCTGTGTTCAATGCAGTGCTCTGTTTTATTTTTGTTTGTTAGCTTGAGACAGGTACCAGTAAAGTCTTGATTCCTCTTCTAGGCCTACTCTGTGTATGATGAAGAGATTGGCTACTGCCAAGGCCAGTCATTCCTCGCTGCTGTGCTGCTGTTACATGTAAGTGGTGCCTTTACCTCAGCTGTTTCAGACTTCAGAATAAATGTCGCTCCACTTGTCTAGAACAGACTTCTGAGCTAATAGGGTTGCAGGGTACACACACATCCATTTACACGTTGGTCAGTAATAAAGTGATTTTAGACAGGGAAGAGTACATTGTTTAAAACTTGCTGTGGTGTTTTGTGAGGACTTTATGCCCTTGTGTTCCTGTACTAGGACCCCTTCCATTTAGTCTTGCACTCAGGAGCAGTAGTAGGCATGGGATTTGTGTGTAAGACAACACTGTAAATGTTTTTGTTACAGGCTTTCAAGGTCAGATTTCTATTTTCTATTGGATGTTTCTATTGGAATCAGTCAGAAATACAGATGGTGTTTGCTATGTCCTGTATACACAGAGGAGTATTTAGGACATTGAAGGGATGTCAGTGTTAGGTCTCAGTGCAGGCTGTGCTGCCTGTGGGCTGTTGTCCTGTAGGTCTTTGTGCTTCTCTGTTTGAGAGGTTAGGGAAGGATACAATAACACCTTCGTATTTGTAAAAGAAACTGTATTATGCTTTTTTAAACTTAATTGCTGTTGATAGAAGTGATCTCATCAGTGTAATATCCTTTAATTGCTGGTGTGTTCAGAAGCTAGAGAGAGATTTATGGTTGTCAGGAACAAAAGTTTTATATGCACTCACACTTGGGAAATACAAGAGCATTAGAAATCTGTATTTGTATATTTATAGACTGTTCTGTTTCAAAGTAACGTCTGCTTTCTGTCAGTGTTTCTGTTGCAAGGGTAGTTGGAACTGCAGAGTTCCTGAGCCCAGCAATGCTTTGAGGTTTCTTTTCCCCAGCTGTTGCTGCCGTAGAGGGCTGAGCATGAAGAGTTCCCTGCAGTTTTTGGTGGAAGTCTGGCCTTCAGGGGAGGATTTTCCATACTGCTGTAAAGTCAGGGGAGGATACAGAAGAGATTGTAAACTCCATTCTTGTGAAACAAAAGCCAAGTGATTGATGATAACAACCTTTTAGTTCTTTGTAACTGTAATCTGAAATATTTCCTAGATGAGCAATTAATTCTTTATTTCCTCACTGAATCAGATAGAGACGGGCAACGCTTCCTGCTATGAGAACTGAACACTTTTACTGAAACAGATGTGCTTGCTTGTAGATTTTCATTGTCATGGGTCCCTTGCCTTGGAGATATTCACTCTCATGACTGAGCCATGTGTTATTCCAGAGTTCTCTCTCTAACAATATTTGTGGCTTCTGGGAATAATGTATGCATTTAACAAAAAGCTAAATTTCAAATAAGTTTCTTTTTATTTGAGTCTCTTTGAAGTCAGCTTTTGGAGTGTGGCTGCTAGGGAAAATAAATAATAAAAACAAATGTTGCAGAAAAGGAAATTAAGTTTCTGTGAGTCCTTCACTACCAGTTTGGAATGTTTCAGCAAAGTTTTCTGTTTTAATAAACTCCATCTGCAGATTAATAATAGAATACTTGAGATGGATGTTCTGTCCTTTATAGAAACCAGCAATTGACCTGAAGCCAGACTTTTCTACAGAAATACTAAAACTGAATTTTAAGGGCAGGGAAAAATGTCAAAATACTTAGGAGCTTTGAGTTTTCCTTCAGTTCTTGGCAGGAAAGGGACTTCCTAAAAAAGTGCTGAATTGTGAGGTGTGGAGCTTCTGTTAGCAGTGACTGGTGTCTTATTCATGTCATCTAATAAATAAACATAAAATGCAACAATGTCATTGAAAAAGGGAAATATATCATTAAGAATAAGGGTAAGGTCTTGTTCAACATCCTATAGTAATACTGTTTCTGCCTTATTTTACATAGGTGACAAAGGATTAGGCTGGTCAAAATCTGTAAGATTCAGATTCTGATGAGTTCTGGAACAAAGACCTGGAAACTGCTTTGGTCTTCATGTCTGGAAGATGTATTTTCAGTTGAGTGATTGAGAGGTGGCTTATTCCACTGAAATGCCATTTACAACACTAAACCTCATTTTGTGTGATAAACTCTTGTTTACATTTAAACTGGATTAAAAAGTAGTGGCGATTCCACCTTTCAGTCAGAGAGAGACGGGAGGTCCAGGCAGATTGACATGATGTGAAAGGTTCTAATGCTTGGTGCTAAATCCACCTTCCTGTCTCACAGATGCCTGAGGAGCAAGCTTTCAGTGTTCTGGTCAAAATCATGTTTGAGTATGGACTCAGGGAACTTTTCAAACAGAACTTTGAAGATTTGCACTGCAAGTTCTATCAGCTGGAGCGCCTCATGCAGGTGGGACTCACACGGGGAGGGTGAACGGCCCCGAGCCAGCAATTCAGCTCTGGCTGTTTCTCATGGGATGAATGGTGTTTGTAAGCTGTGAGGAAGGGTGAATGGTGTTTGTGAGCTGTGAGGAAGGGTGAATGGTGTTTGTAAGCTGTGAGGAAGGGTGGAGAGCAAGAGCCGTCCCAGGTGTTCTAGGAGCAGTGTGGTGCTGCTGAAGGCAGATGTGCTGGACAGCTGGAGTGGCTCTGCTGTGGCTCTGCTGTCAGCACAGCCATTGCTGGGCCCTGCTGAGACAAATTCCAGGGTCCTGCTGGGCATCCACCCCAGGACAAGCCTTTGGCATCCTCGGGAGGCCCCCAGGCCCGTTCCTGTCACACCTAGTGGGTGCAGGACCCTGCACTGATGGTCACTCTACCCAACTTCCTTCTGTACTTTGAGGGTTCAGTTACAGCTCCAAAATAGCCTAAATTAACCTTCAGTGCTTCTGTGTGTTTTACTCTTAGGAATACATTCCTGATCTGTATAACCACTTTCTGGACATCAGCCTTGAAGCACACATGTATGCTTCCCAGTGGTTCCTGACCCTGTTCACTGCAAAATTCCCTCTCTACATGGTCTTCCATATTATTGACTTACTCCTGTGTGAGGTATGTGTTATAATTGGAGACTTGCACAGCTCCCAGCTCTTGACAGTTTGTCACTATATTGGTTCACGTCCTTGTTACTATCTGTTCTCTCAGAGCAAGGCATGTGATATTTTTATGTCAAAGTGTTGCATTTCTGCAATGATAAAGATTCTCAGCATTTTAAAGAAACAAATTAAGAATCAATAGCTATATAAAAGATTATAATCTTCTATTCCCTATGGCACTGGTGCATCTATGTGAGAAGACTCTACAGTGTGATAAGAGCCGATTTACAAATATGTGGGTTCCTTTCTTCTGAAGTCACATTATACACAATGATTAGGGTTTTTTTCCTATCATATTATTGCATGGAGGCCATTGTATATAAAATGACCCAGCTAACTCCCATGCTGGTAATCTGACAAGCTTGAAGCTTTTTCTCCTGGAAAGGAAGTCTCTCTATATTTCACAACTTATATTTAGAGAGCAAAATTCTTCATATTGAAATGTTGTCTACAATTGTGTTTAGTACAGTGTATGTAGTGGTATGTGGGTAAGCAGTGTAATTGCAGTCAGCACTTACTACCATCAGTGAACAAATCCCATTTTGTACTGAAGCATCCTTGAGTTATTTAATGATTTGCTGGGTAACTTTATGCATCCATTCTTCTTGGATCTGCACTGGTTCCTGTGAAGTGGCTGATTTCCTGCCTTTCCTTTACTGAAGGCTTTCAGCATTCACAAACCTCCTGGTCAATGTTTTTGCCCTTCCCCTGTGTCTGCTGCTTGCTTTGTCTTTGTGCCAGTGGAATAGAAAGCAGCAGATGGTATGGAGAAAATCACTTTTGTTTGTTTAGAAACACATTTTCAATTCATAAATAGTAAATGTGCTCACAGAGAAGTTTTAAGGGGTTTTTCATCATTTTAAAGTACTAGTGAAAGAATAACTTGGTGGGAAGAAGAAAGGCAGGATCCTGAAATAAGATGAGCAATGTGTCATGATTATGAGTGGGACCCCTGAAGAAGGTGTGAGCTACTCCTGACTACAGAACTGTTTGTATTTAATTTAATTGGACAATATGAATAGAACTCTTGTAAGCAGTAGAGGCAGAATAGATGCTGTGGGACTCTGTCCTAAAGTGAGTCACTCTTTTTCATTGCATGAATTATCCCAGTTTGTGAAGACCAGAATTTAATATATTGGTATATATATTACTGCATTTGAATCAGTGTTTTTAGAAGTTGCTGTATGAAAATTAAATTGTCTTGAGCTGACCAACCACTCATTAAGAAATAAAGTGCTCAACATAATTTTAGAGTTTCAGACTGCTAAGGAAGCGGTAAAACCAGTGTTGATTGTTTTGCTCTTTGTAATGACTCTCCAGTAAAGATTGTTTGCAAAGTCATTCTTTGTGCCTTTGATTTATATAGCATCTGGTTACACATGTATGCTGGTTCTCCATTTCACAGAAACTAGACAAACAACAAAACCCACCAAGTAAATTCCTATCCAAGCTTGTAAATACTGAGAAATTTAATTATATTGTCATTATTTTTTCTTTCCAGGGAATAAGTGTTATCTTCAATGTTGCACTGGGATTATTAAAAGTGAGTATACAATGTTACACTGTGGTTTATGCATCTTCATGCACCATATAAAAATTAAGACTCTTGTTACAAAAATACGTTGGTTTTTTTGAGAAGCTAACAACTGCCTGTGGCACACGTGCTGTAATCTGGCATGTCCTGTGCAGCACAGTGCTTTTTTTGGGGGTGGAATAGAAGGTTGCAGAAATAGAAAGAAACACTCTTTGCAGAAGGTTAAGAAGCAGCGATGTTACTGCAGCTTTCCAAAGCTGTTATGGCTTTATTGTCTCTGGTATTCAATAATTGTAAAGAATTGTCTTTTACTGGTGTTCCTTTCCCTGTCTTCAGACTACCAAGGATGATTTGTTGCTGACTGACTTTGAAGGGGCTTTAAAGTTCTTCCGAGTGCAGCTGCCCAAGCGGTACCGCTCCGAGGAGAACGCCAAGAAATTGATGGAGCTGGCCTGCAACATGAAGGTGAGCTGGGAGGGACTGCTGTTCACAGCCTGGGAGCAGCTCCTGGCTCTAGCTCCAAGGGTAAATGCAGGTTAATTGGCTGTGATCATGGAGATTAATTTTGAGCCAAATACACTGATATGTTTCAAAGTGTCCTTTTTCCTTAAATTCCCTAGAGGAATTCTTTGTAGTGTCAGTGTGGAAGTACACAACTTTCCCATTCCAGGCATTTTGTGATCTAGGTACAGTAGCAGTGTGGATACCAGTATTCTGCTCAGAGTTCAAGCATAACTTGTGTGAAACTAATGTAGAAATTAAAGAATAATCAAGAATAAAGCTATTTTATCTCTCTAATCATTTAGCATTAGCCACAGATTAAATGGTCCACATAATCCTAATGAGTGCATTTGCCTTTTATGTTTCCAAATAACAACTTGTTCTTCTTCCCACTCTTCCAAAATTGCCTGTGTTCCCAGTGCTGTGTGGAGGGGCACAAGCAGTCTCTGAGTGGGCACAGCCAGGCTGCCCACGGTGTCCTGGAGTGCTGGGTTAGAGGGGAGCTTGTGGAGGGAGCACTGCTGGGCTTGGCACAGAACCCTTCTCTATCACCATCTTGATGGGAGTGCTGCATGTAGTTTCTTTCCTTGACCTAGAATATTAGTCCTTTGCTGTCAGTAGAAATCTCCAGCTCTGTATTTGGAAGTGTTTCTTTGAGCAGATAAGGACCTGATATCAAAATAAATAATTTATAGGAAGGGAGAAATAGCCTGGCTAGGGCATTGTGATTAGAACAGCATTCTGCTGGAAAGGAGGTCAGGAAGTCATCAGCTGGAGACAACACCAGATTCTTAAAGTCACTTCTCAGTGTTGCCGTCAATTCATAGAATCACAGAATGGTTTGGGTTAGAAGCCCAAAAAAGCCCTTAAAGCCCATCTCATTCCACACCCCTGCCATGGCAGGAATACCTTCCTCTATCCCAGGTTGCTCCAAGCCCTGTCCAGCCTGGCCTTGTACACTTCCAGGGATGGGGAGTTCACCTCTCTGGGCAACAGATGTTAGCAGAGCTGCTGCTGCCTCCAGTGCCCCTGAAAAAATGTGATGGGACATCAGTGTTTATTTCTGCAAACCCAGAATCCCTGCTGACTTCCCCAGGCCTGCCCAGAATTAATGACAATGACAAATCTGCTCAAGATCCCCTAAAAAAGGCAAAAATGGCTTAATGCCCTTGAAAAGTAGAAGATGGGAATACAGTAGTGTGCCTGCCTTCCTTTCCTCTGGCATGGTGAATGCTTCACAGGATCTGACTTTACATTGTGGGAGATTTGGGGTGTGAAACCCCAAAATTTGGGCAGTGTTTGAGCAGGGGCAGAGCAGTGAAATAACCTCCTCAAGTTACTGGCTCCATTGTCAGTGAAGGGTTAATCCTGTAGGGGAGTGTCTGGAGAGCAGGAATAACTCCTGCAGTTGTGGTGTGGTTGGACCAACTCCAGGTAATGGTTGGCATCTCCAAAGAAATATTCCCCCGAGTGCAGAGAGGTGTTTCTGGTCAGCTCTCACTAGAGGGAGCTTGGCCACCACTTTCTGCAGCTCCTTCCCAGGAAGGTTGTTAGTGAGAAAAGTAGATTTCAGGGAAACCAAACACGTTTTCCATTCTGCCTGTCATTTTTTCATGTAAAATTCAACCTGTTTCTCAGAAAAGGGTTTTTAAAGAGGAAATCTTAGCCATAGCTTTTAAATTTATTTGGTTTAATGGGATAATAATAAACGTTTAAGTGCAACTTTTAATGCTAGAGATTTCATTTAGATGCATAATGCCTTGCATGTGAAATGCTCACAGGGATCTTGGCATGGTCTGTGTTGCTAAACCATTGTAACCTCTGGCACAGGTGACACCAGGCTGGTCAGGATCTGTTACAGCTTCCCTGGTGTTCCCTGTCCCTGCAGGACTTGAATTCCAGACACAAAATACTGAATTCAGCATCACCTTTCTGTCCCTTGTCACAGAAGGGGAATCTGAGGGCCTGTGAGGGTGGCTTTGCTGGGGCTGTGTGTGTCAGAGCCAGGGACAGAGCACTGAGGTGCTGCTGCTTGCCCAGACATCTCGGCAGCTCGGGCTGTTTTCTGCTGGGCTTGAGTGACACTGGCAGAAATGTCAGCTGAGCCTGCACTTGCCCTTTCAGCATTTACAGTCTCATGTAAAGTAAACCAAATGCTTCTGTGTGGTGATAAATGTTACAGCTGAAAAAGCAGCTGAAGAGGGCTCAGCATCAGGCCAGTCCAGAAATGAGCCACGTCTGTCAGGTTTCTGTTCTGCTGTAGCTCTGCAGTGTGTGCAGCACCAGGGAGTTGTGCAGCACCAAGGGGAGCTTGGGCAGGATGCTCTGGGTGCCTTTTGAAACCTTTCCTGTATTCCACAGGAGGAGGCTGCTGTCATTATATTGAGTGGAACCAAGTTTTTGACCACACCTGAGGGTTTGATGCTCAGAACTGGGTGAAGCCTTGAGCTGTGCTTTGTAGAAGGCAGGAGTTGCCTGAAGCTTGTTCTATAACCCTGTGTGTGTTGTGTTCTTTTATTGATGTTCTGGGCAGGAACTAATGGGCTGCTTTAATTTAGATTAGCCAGAAGAAGCTGAAGAAATATGAAAAGGAATATCATACCATGAGAGAGCAGCAGGCTCAACAGGAGGATCCTATAGAAAGATTTGAGGTAATGCTTTACCTACTCCAGTCTTAACAAACAGCAAATTGCACTTTGACTCTTTTTTGAGCTGGTTTTGTTTCCTGACCAATTTGAATGCAACAGGGGAATCAGCTCCATGAACATGAAGGGAATGTCTCTCTGTTTGCAGCATTGATCAGGATGGGGTTGTTGTGAGCCCAGCTGTGCAAGAAAAGGAATAGTATGAATTTTTATTTGGGCTTATAGAGCTGGTTCAGTAGAGCCTGTTTAACGTGCTGACTGCAGCACAAGCCATGAACAGAAAGGAAATGCCTGACTGATTCTAACTCTGCCTTCCATGGTTATGCTCCCGCCTTTACTCCTCTTCCTAGTTTCAACTGATGTATACTGCAGTAAGCATATACTTTTATAAATAGTTTATTTACCAAATAAATGTAATAAAGGCATGAATTACACATGTAAAGTTACATATGCATACACATACCACAATTACACACACAGAGACATAGATACAATAAATTCATGTATTTTAATCAGGGAAGTTTTATATAAACTTTCTTTAGTATCCATCTATGTGCTGGGAGTTGTAACAGGAGAGAGAAAATTGAGTATTTTTCCCAGGATTCTCCTCTCTTACCTGTTTCTAGCATGCAAATTCAATTCTTAGCCAAGAAAAGCAGTACTTGTAGGAAACTCCTGGCAAGGTGTCGATGGCACAATGATATCCCTACTATTGCAGGCTTCAAAAACATTTCTGTAGCTCAACAAGTAATGGCTGAGCAGAGTTACTGGTACCTGGTGTCTTCTCAAGGCTAATCCTGTATTTATTTTACATTTTACTATGGCTGTAGTTTTGTCCCGGGGAATTTTATGCAGTTAGAGTTGTCTTAGCATCCTGGAGATGCAAGGTGGGCATTTGTGTGCAGGCACAGGAAGCTGTGTGTGGCAGACACTCACCTGGGCAGCCCCTTTGTGTCCCCCCAGCGCGAGAACCGGCGCCTGCAGGAAGCCAACATGAGACTGGAGCAGGAGAACGACGACCTCGCCCACGAGCTGGTCACCAGCAAGATTGCACTGAGGAAGGACTTGGACAATGTAAGTCATGTCCTCAGGCTGTCTGGGGCAGACAAGGGCTGACTCCTTGTTCCTTCTCTCACTGGAGAGGAGATACATGGAGTACTTTTTTTGTGTGGGGCAGGATTCCTTCCTCCACATCCATATTGCACACTGACTATGTATAGGCCTGGGACAGAGGTCCATGGGAAACAGGAGTGCTGACTGAAATACTCATTACTCTGAAAAACATTCAGAGTCACTGGAGGGAAAGGAGAGCCTGTACTTGAGTAGTTTCTTTCTTTTCTCTTTGGAAGTCTAGCAGGAGGTGTGTCTAGTCTTTGAACCATCACAGAGATCATAACATGGATGCTGGCTTGTGTTTTCCTGGGATTTTTATGAATACAATTTCACAGCAGACAGGCTTTTCAAAGTGCCTGATAAACTTGAAAGTCTGAGTCTGTCTGGCTCTGCATGGATCAGGTTCTCAGGTACCTCAGGCAACTCTGAAAATGCTGTAGTTTCCTTTTGGCTTGTTGGAATCTGCCCGTGTGAACTCCTCATCCTGAGCTGTTTCCAAATCAGACTTCAGGTTTGCTTTGTGTTACAGGAATTTTTTTCAGCTTGCTGTCCCACTCCCTTCTTTACATATTCAGCTGTGGGAGATTTTATTAGGATATGCTTTTTCTTTTTTTCCAGGACGTGCAGAGACAGAAAGGTACTGGCATCTCTAGCACAGGGGAGGCTACAACACATTTAGTCTGTCTGCTTGGGGAGATGAGGGGAAGAGTTCAAGTGCTCATGTTTTGCCATTCTTGTTCTGCACCAAGATAAGTGCATTTCTGAAATCTCAAAGGAAAATGACTTCTGAAAGTTGCGCAGTGCAGAAGCTGACAGGCTTTAAAATGTTTCATTGGATCTGCCTCAGACGATTTGAGGTTTCCCACGGTCTCCTGGAAACTTGCTGTTGGAAAACTATTCATAGTAAATGTTGATGCCAATGGGTGAATGTTGCTTTAATGAGGTTTGGTTCATGACTTTTGGGTTTATTACGTCTCCTGTTCTTAGGTGTTAAGAAGTGGATCATAGAAGAATGTTCTAGAAGCAGGTTTTCCCCACACATTTGTATGTTCACCTCCTCTTACCTGGGTATTTTCCCTTCATTAGTGAAGCTCCCAGAAGCTTCACACTGGTGATAGCCCAGCAGTGGCGCTCAGGACATGAACTCTGGCAAAAATTGTCCTGAAGAAATTTTTTCTATCAGTTTTTAGCTGTTGTTTGTGGCTGCTTGAGCCTGTATGAGACACAGTTATACTTTTACTTTTTTTTTTTTAATGGAGAGCTGGGAGAGGAACAAACTTAGGCAAAATTGATATGCTTAATTTGATATATACAATAGTCTTGTATTCAAAGATGGCAAATGATGTTGGCAGCATTTGGGTTATCCCCTGGGAGGAGATAGGTAGGTTTGATCCTACTTTAGGACATGATTAATTCTTCTAATTGGATCCTGAAGTGATAAGCTTCATTCTGCCAGCCTGAGGTCCTGAAAGTACCAAAGGACATTTTTTAACACACCTTTTCTGATACCTACATGGCATGTCTGAAATCTGCAACCTAAAAGATCAAAACAAAGCATTTGGAAATACAAGAATTTCCTTAATATCCTTTCACTAGACCAGAAAATAGGCTTCATTTTTCTACTGTTGTTGGGCTCCTACATCCCAGTGTTCTTTAACTTTAAAACAGCTTAAACCCCATCTGTAATGAAAAGATGTTCTCTTTACCTTTGCTGTCCGTTTTAAAGGATCAGCAGGACTTTAAGGGACTAAAATTCACTTTTTGATTTTCTTTCTTTGAAGGGAATTGGTACAGCTACTTTCAGAAGATTTTATATATCAGTTGAGTTATTGATCTATTTTTATGTAGAATCCATACACCTATTGGGAAGTGCTGTGTTGTGTATATGAGACAGGAAAAGATATCTTAACTTTGCAGAGTTTTAGTAGTTTATAAAGAGCTTGGAATTTTTCAACAATATATTTTTCTACTTAAAAAACTTCAGTAAAAAGGAATTTGTTGGTTTCAGGTGAGACATTTCTTTCCCTTAAGGAGGAAGAAGAGAGGGGCCTGACTTGTGATTGCTTTGGCAGCTCAGTTTTCATGCAGTATTTTCTGGGATGGTATCCCATCCATTGGGAAGTGTCATAAGAGTTCAGGGAGCTTTTTAAATGTTCTAGAGGCATTTTTCATTAATTCTGTTTTCATTGCAAGGTTGAATGTTTGCAAATTAAACTTAGGTCTGAGCTGGTTATAGTCTTTTATTGATCTTGCACATTGTGAGCTGTTCTGGGCCTTCTGTTGTCTTCAAAATGTATTGGTCAACTTCCAGACTGGACAAGAAAATGAAACTTATTTTTGGTATTGGATTTCTTTGGAGCAATCCCTACTCCAGTTTTGCTAAAATTAACCACTGAATTCAAGGAGGCATTTTGGAGGGCTGGAATACAGTGGTACACATCGTTAATTTTGATGTGTTGCTGCCTTGCCTATTGCAGATGGGAAGTTTCAGAAAAATAATTTTCAGAATAAAGTTTTACTGTTTTTGATAACAGTGAACTAAACCTTAGTAAGACTGGAATGGTTGTACTCTTGTCTCTGTCCTGGTAGAGGCACAGCCTCTGCTCAGCCTCCATTCTGTGTTTCAGGCAGAGGAGAAGGCAGATGCCCTCAATAAGGAGCTGCTAATGACCAAACAGAAGCTGATTGATGCAGAAGAAGAAAAGAGGCGCCTAGAGGAAGAATCTGCTCAGGTTAGAGCATTTCTGTCATTCTCACTGTTCTGTACAGTACAGAAATGATAAAAATAAAAAGTGACAAGTGTGGGAAGGGCTTAATGTTCTAAGTCATGTTTGTCCCTCTTCTGTAGTGTAAAGGACGTCAGCAAAGCAGAATTTGGCATTTTCCTGCCAGGTGCTTCATAGGGTGAAGAATTTTTAACTTGAAATCACAAAGTCACAGCCTGTGCCAGATGCTGCACAGAGAGGCAGTGCAGGACTTCAGGTGTCAGCAGTTTTTGAACCCTTCCTTTCCTTGGCTAGTCCACTGTTCTGTCAATGATGGCCACCAAAGCCTGGCTTTTCCCTGCCTGCATGGAGCTGAGCTGGACTCTGGATCCCAGGGTAGAGCAGAGCAGTGAGGTTAAGGAGAAGGAGGAAATAACACCTGGGTATTTTCCCAACTACAACCATATAAACCCTTCCCTTTTTGTCTTGTTCTTTTGTCTCTACAGCTGAAGGAAATGTGTCGTAGGGAACTAGACAAGGCAGAGTCAGAGATCAGAAAGAACAGCTCTATTATTGGTGACTACAAACAGGTAAGTACAACTTCATGATGATGTGGTTTCTTATTAAAGTACAAGACTTCCAGGTATTTTAGGAGATTTCTGGAAATCAATGTCATCTGTGCCATGCATTTGAGGACACAATTTAGCTGTTCTAAATGGGAAGCCTGTGGCTGGTTTTGCATTTTCTTTGGCCAAGATCCTGAAGTGGTCAGTCCTGTTTGCCCCTGATGCAGGTATTTGTAGATCAGCAGCAGTTAGAGCCAAACCTTGTTCAAACGGGCTCTTGGATATCAAACGTTCACCTCATGCCAAAAAAAGCTTCTCTCTCACCTCTTCTTTGTCAATCAAATGCACCTCAGAAATAAAAAAAAGAGATGCCTTTCTCCTCTCAAGGCTTTGCTTTGGCAATCAAGCTCCTGATCAGAAGGTATCAAGGGAGCAAATTCATGTGTCCCTTTAGCAGACCCATATCAGGTCTCAGGGAATGAGTTAGGTTTTTTTACTACTCTGTCTTGCCTGTTCTTTTTTCCCAAAGGCAACAAAAGGGCCATGCTATTCCTAACCTTTTCTGGCTCCTTTACCAGGGCCAAACTGTTAATAACTTATGTTGGAACTGCACCTTTTCCTGTGAGGATAGAAGAATATGTAGAGAATGGAAAAATGTACAGTGAGACAGCTTAATGGACTGTCCCAATTTTTCTAGCTTTCTAAGAGTCCTTAGACTATCCATGTTAATATTGCAGCAGCATTTATTTGTGCTTTAGCATTCATTTGGGAGGGAATTTACATTTATGAATGATCTGGTAACATGATTTTGCTTGTCAGATTTGTTCCCAGCTGAGTGAGCGACTGGAAAAGCAACAAACAGCAAATAAAGCTGAAATTGAGAAAATACGGGTAAGAGACCAGATATATCCACTGTCTATAATCTTTCAATCTCTTAGCAAAATCACAGCAGCAGACACACAATTTATTTCATTATTAAAATGGTGTCTGAGAGTCATAGATAGAAGATAAGGGGGAGATGTGTGGGAAAAGGTGAGCCCTCTGATGCTGTAGTGGTTACATGCTAATGTTGATGCTGGGGTATTTTTGAGGGGTCTTTTTTTTTTTCTGGAAGAGATTCTCTGAATGTCTTTTACCTTAAAGTAATGGGGGGAGTGGGACAGAGTCCATTACTGGAACAAAATAATACAGCAGTGTTTCCAAAGCCATGAGTCTGGGGCTGGCAGGAGCTCCTGCTCGGCTGGGCCTCCCCAAAAGTTCCCAGGAGTGGCTTCTCTGGTGTTGAGCTGCTCTCCCAGAGCAGAGGCAGGAACAGGCTTCCATCACATCCTCAGCACGTCGCTCACAGTCAGGTGTTTACTTTAGCAAAAGGTGGATGACTGCGAGCACTGCCGCGAGTTCTTCAATAAGGAAGGCCGTGTGAAGGCTGCCAGCACTGCCAAGGATGGTTCAGACGAGGACACGGATGAGGAGAAGGAAACGCTGAAGAACCAGCTGAGGGAAATGGAGCTTGAGCTGGCCCAGACCAAGCTGCAGCTTGTGGAGGCGGAATGTAAAATACAGGTAATGCTGTGGAAGCTTGTTTTGTAGTCTGTACAGCGTGTCTGCATTCCTAGAAAAATGTGTGTGTGAGTTGTAGAGGGATTGGAACAGATCCTGTTGGTTGAAACCGTAACCTGCTATTTCCTGCATGGGTTATTTAACCAAACACTGCGTCTGAAACTTGCTGTATGCAGACGATATAATTGAAATTGCATGAACTGTATTTAGCAGCCACTATAGCTTCCAGACATCTGCCTGTCTGCAGTGCAGTGCTGGCTGCCTGATCTCCTGCAACTGCTTGGAAGGAGCCCAAGCTCTGACAGAGTACTGAATCATGCATGTCTTTATCTCACAATCAGTGCTAAATGAAGAAGTAACATTGACAAATGTTAGACATGTTTCTTAAAACACGATTGCAAAGCACTCCAGGTACCTGAAGTATTTCTGTAAAATATGACAACATTGCGCTTTTAGCCTAAAACTGATAGATCAGTGCAGCTTTTTCACAGAAAGGTAAAAATTAGTTTGTAGAAACTCCACTTCCTGTGGGAATAGCTTCTCCTCAGATGGAAGAGAATTAAAGAGTTTGGATGTACTGAAGAAAGCAGAATGTTTCACTAAGGGCAATGACACAAGCCTTGTTTTGCTTTTCAAAGCCTTTTTTTTTTTTTTTCCTCTTTGTCAGCTTATTGTGCTGCTTTTAATTTATGTAAGACTTGTTTAACTTCTTAAGTGGAGTGGCCAAGAGTTTGTAGATGTTCTAGAGCCTTCTAGGTTTAACTCCTATAACCTTGTGCTGTGAATATGTAACAAAATAATGAAATTACTCTTCTGTTTGCAGGATTTGGAGCACCATTTGGGTCTGGCCCTGAATGAAGTACAAGCTGCAAAGAAAACATGGTTCAATAGAACAATAAGCTCTATAAAAACAGTAACTGGAGTCCAAGGAAAAGAGACTTGTTGAAAATCAGTTCTGTCAAACACACCTTCTTAACACAACACCTTTTGTTGCCTTCCTTGGCCAGATGTTTAATTCTGAGACATGAGAGGACCAGAATGTAAATATAATAGAAACACAGCATGTCAGGATTTCAATAGGTCAGTGATAAAGAGGATGGGAACACAAGAGAGTTTTTATTGCTAGACATGGGATGTTCATACTACTGATATTTAACAGGTGATGTAGCTAGGTTGAAGCTCTTCAGAGAAACACTCCATTCTGCGTCTGGCTGGAGGCTTTTCACAGACTAGGTACGAGAACTTACCAAACCCTAATTGTTAAGTTTACATATGATAGCTTTTTTTACAGTTATAACCTTTTTTAATATTTTATTTGAAAGGAAAAGTGTCACTAACAAAGTTAAAAATAAAAAAGAAAAAAAAAAGGAAAAAATGCAACAAAAAAATACAAGTTTATCAAGAACTACATCAGTGCCAGAAAGCAGTCCCCAGAGGTAGGAAATGGAGAGTAGGAGGTGACATGTTTTGCTTTATGAATGGGGATGATTTCAGCATTCCTGTCGAGCAACCCCACTTTGTTTTAGTAGATGCAGCATCCATCTCTCTGTGTTTGGCATTTCTTTCTGTTACTAATCAATTCTATGCAACTCTGGGCTTTTTTGGCACAGGCTGCCAAACAAATTTGCCACCGGAGGCTGGGAGACTTTCGAAGTGCTAGACAAGAATAATCGGAATTGTGGGCAAATTTCCGTTTCACTTGTGTCATATTGTTTGATCCACATATCAACAGCATTCAAATCCCCAGCACCAGGACTGCTGATAATATGAATTATGTGGATGGTCTGACATTCAATGGAGTCTGTCTGGGTTTTGTCAGGTTTCTGTTTTGTTTTTGTTTGTTTGTTTTTACCCGGCTGTAGCAGGCCTTCTGCGGAGCTCCGACAGAGCTCCCAGGTTTTAGTTTTGCACATAGGTATGAATGGGACAAAGAAACAATAAACTGAGATATATATGAGGCAAAAATCACAGCGTGAGTGTAGCTGCGAGCATCTCTAGCTGTCCAACTCGCTTCCCTGGTAGCGTTCTGAGGTGGTGTAGGTCATTTTTCACGCTCGATGCAGTTGCACTAATAGGTGCTAAATGTGCTTGGAGTTCTCATTCCTTGGATTGTATTGAGTTCTCACCAGAAAGCTGTAGAATGGAGTTTTGCACCTTGTAATTTTTTTAATTTATAATGGTTTTGTGTTATGCTGAAGTATCTATTGCATCAGTGGATAAATTTTGTGTGCAGTGTGAGTATAAGCTGGTAACAATAAGAGGCACTGGTTTGTATATAAAGATATTTGGTTTATTTTGTATTTCTAACTTTTTCTTGTTTACTGTACTAATGCTAGCTAATGTACTCTGTAACTACAGGATAGAACATGCTATGTCCAAGCTTTTTTCCTTAACTGCATACATTATCTCTATTGTTTAATACCAAAAAAAAAATACTGTAACTCCATCAATATTAGATGCGTGGACATTGTGGTAGCATAGTTGCAGTGTGTATACTTTATGAATTGAAATATAAACTAGTAAAATTGTATAACTATTTTGTTGTTTCATTTCATTTGAACAGAAAATTATTAAATATTTTGCAATATAAAGCTAATTCTCTTCTTAAAGTAGGAGCAGTAGCATCTGCAGGCTTCTCCAAGACTGAAACCACAGTCATGCTGCAAAGGGCTTTGCTAAAAAAGACTGCATGTTCTGAGTGCTGCCAACACTGGTTTTATATAATAAAATCTAGGGTTTGCTTTGAAAAAAGAAACTGCAAAAATGACCTTGTGCAGCTTGAAACTTGTGACTCAGTATTTCTCAAACATGTCCAATTTAGAACATTTTTTTTTTCCCTGGCCCTCCAAATTCTGCTTGAATCTGCAAAATAAATGTAGGCTATCTCTGCTTATCACCATCAGTAACAAATTTGGGGTCAAGTGTGGTTCATGGCATCTTCAGCAGGGTTTTGTAGCTGTGGCTACAACCACATAACCGGGAGAACAAATGGATTCTCATCACCAAAACCACCAAAGGTGGCTCAGAGAGCAGCCATGCTCTAGGAGGCTGCTGTGATGCCACTTTTCCAGCCATATTTTGCTTTAAAAGAATGGTATTATGTGGTTGTGCTTGGTCTCCACTGCTTTGTCTTCCCAGAGGTGCATCCCTTGGTAAGGGCAGCTCTGCAGTTTCTCAATAATTGCAACCTTTAGAGAAAGTTTAAAGGTAAGTAGGGGACAGGAGGAAGCAACCCAAGAACACTTCATCCACTTGTCTTCCTCAAAGGTTCTGGGAAATAGTGTAATAGTGTACTTTCCTCTAAAAATGAAGTACTTAAAGGAAGAGCAAAAGCTGCTTTATTGTTCAGATTTCTTCTACTCTCTAAATGAAAATTATCTTCAGATTGCATGCAACATATACTCCCCTTTTAGTATGGATGCAGAACATGCATAATTGCTTCACGGCATTGCATCCAAAGCACTTTATAGTCAGTTTCCAGTCATGAATTATTTTAGATGCCTACCTGAGGGTTTTGGTGCTCGGAAATGAATATTAGCAATGTATTTCACATCCAAGTCCATCTAAAATATCCACAGTTAATTATGAAAAATGAATCCAGTGCTGAGATGTGCATCTTTGGAAGCACAATTACATGTGAAAGACAAGGAAGCAGGTCAGTTTTAAGATGATTAAATTGAATTTGCAGATACTCAAAACTATGAATAAGGAAGGTAGAAAACCACATTGAGTCAGAGCTGCTGTAAGCACAAGTACTGTTCAGCCCTGAAAAGGAAATGAGTGTGTTTGGAAGCATTTGGGGCATTAATGAGATTGTTATTTTCTGGTAGTCAGTTACCTTTCTGTTCACATGTGCCTGAGCTGGGTTTGAGTACTGAGCTCCAGCTCAGTGCCAGTGTGCTGATGCTGGGATTAATCTCCGGTGCCCCAGGCTCCAACTCCCAAATGCTTTGCATGTTTGTGCTGTATCATTAAGTTCCAATGGTCTCAGTGTGGGAGCTCGGGTGTCACAATCTCATTTGTGTTGCAGAACTTCTTGGCAGCTCAGGGTCCACAGCTGGAAGTGGATATTCAGGATCTATCGGAAAGTTTTACCTTTAAGCATTGCTAGTAAGCCGTCTTGAAATTTATATAACTACCTCCCTGACTTTTTTTAGCTGCCCTTCTTATCTGTGGCAGTGATATAAAGTTCCTGTTATCAAGAGGAGGATTTCACTCCATCTGTTCAACAGCTTGGCTCACATTCATCCAGCCTAACTTTAGATACTTCGGAGGTGCCTAACATAAGAGTTTAATCCAGGGAGGTTTTCCAGCCCTGGCGGGTGCGGGGGCAGCACTGCAGGCGGGCGGCTCACCCAGCCTCGTGCCCGGAGCCCTGATGGATCAGGGAAGCTCCTGTGAGCCCACAGATTGAACTGACAGTCCTTCCTAAATAATAATAATAAAAAAATACAGGAAATGAGCCTTCAGTGGACACTCAGGGGGTTGCTTTCTAATTTAATTTTTCCACCTTTTCCCATCACTTTATTGTGCAGTGCTTTTCCTTCTCTATTGCCAAAGACCATCAAGGTCTCTTCATAAAAGAGATTTTCCTAGAATTTACCACTGCACATCCATCCTAATGCATTTGAGCAACACAGGCTTGGTTTTGCTGTTTTCTGCATACTAACGAGCATGACAGTGTAATCCGGGACTGAGGGCTTTCCCTCGGGATAATCTGGCCACAGGCACGGTATGAAACTCGGGCTGTAAGGCGAGCATGAGGGCTCTGCTTGGGAGCCATGTTTGTTGAGTTTAACATTGAAGTCAAGCTTTTTCGCATGGTGATGTAAGTTCCTTCTGAATGGGGGATGAGTGGAACTGAGCTAACTGAAGTAGAACCGGGCTGTTTGAGGTGGATTTATCCAAGGAGGCGCTCGAAGACCACCCCACACGCTCCGGCTCCTCAGACCTCGCCAGGCGCCTCCTCAGCCCTCACACTTTCCCGCGCTTTTCGCAGGGGCGGGGCCTTCGGGGCCCGCGGCGAGCTCTGATAGGCTGGCAGGTGATTGGCAGCAGGATCAGCCCTTGGGCGTGGAGGCGTCAGCGCCGCCATTTTATTTGCCGTGAGGGTCGGGGAAGCTGAGGTGCGGTGCCGGGGAAGGAGCCTTGGAGCGGGGCCCGGGCAGGGCCTGTCCGGCGGGAAGAAGGTGCGAAGTGCGGGCACACCGCTGGGCTGGAGGGGAGCAGTGGCCTTTGGGCGGGGCGATGCTTCCTGAGGGAACCATGCAGATCACCAGAGTGATAGAAGAGCACCAGGGCAGTGGGGGACAGCAGAGCTTTAGATCCAAACAATAAGCGCTGGAGATGAGTGATACTTTGGGGAAAACCTGTGCAGAACTTGCAGTGCATTAATGGCCCTTGTGGAGATGGTGTAAAATTTTCGCCTTAATTTGCACGGGGTTTAAATGGCCTCGTTTGTTCTTTAACGCTTACAGATTACAGCTCCCCA